CTGCTCTGTACCTAAATAAACAATTGAAGCAATCAGAGTTGTTAATCAAACACTATGCATAATTTCCATTGTTAATTTTCTTTATTTAACACTCTGGGCCATACTGAAGTCAAATTTATAATATCTGATTATGACTCCCAGCTGCTACTGTGTGTGCTCTACAACCAGCACTTGAATGCAGCTGCTATTAATAACTAATCTGCCTTACTTGGGGTAGCAAGTTGTTACGACAGGTATTTCCATCACTCTAACACTTGATGTGTAACCACACTGACACAGATATTTGAACATTTCAGACTCACCTTTGGTTTTCCTGAGTGATTCTCAGTGTATCTAAAACGTCTGTGACATTTCCTTCAACTTTTTGTAAAAAAGACATAAATTTTAAGAAACATTGAAATATCCTTCAGTACAAAAGAAAAAATCTGCAGTGATACTAGGTGGCAACGTCTGATCAGCATTTAAAATATTCCAGTACTTTTTACTCCATTAACCTTGACATAAATAATAGTAAGTAGTTACTGTGTGACAGGAGTTTTAATTTAGCACTACATCTCAAGTTACACAGGTCTTTGAGTCTGACATAGAGCCTCACTTCTTGCCAGTTCTTGTACCCTGAGGGAAACCCAACAGACAGTAAAACCAAGTCTTACCATGCAAACAAGGAAGGCTGTTTATAGCATTGCTTTTGATAAACCAATTACTTCGATACAAATTACTTGATTCTGTCTTTCAGCATACATGTCCATTTCAGCTTTTAGATTGAGCTGCTAGACAAAACTGTTTGGATCCAAAGAGCTTTGTACTTCACATTTCACTAACATCTGAAATGATGCCTGCTCTTTTGGCTACTAACACAGAGCTTCAGACTTAAAGAGTATGCAGCAGAATACCATCTGAAACAAAGTGTTTTATTCAAGCTATTACTCACTTTTCTTCTCTCAAGACATCTGTTAGTCCCTGCATTTTACAGAAGTCTTTCCAAGGTTTTTTTGCTGAGCTATTCCACAGATTTTATATGTTGGAATTATCTACCACAGACACTTTTACCTCATTCCAGTGCCTTCAGTAGACTTGGAAGTAGGGAGATTTTGCAGCTTTGATTTACATATTTAGATCAAAGTACCCTAATAGCTCTCCACAGTAGGTTTGGGTTTGTTTGGTTTGGTTTTTGTTTTGGGTTTTTTTTTTGTTTGTTTGTTTGTTTGTTTGTTTAAAAAAAGTAGAAATATATCCAGTACTTTGGACTTTCTAGCTGGCAAAGCACAGCAGGCCTAATCTGGAGCTCGCTGAAGCCAAAGAGAAGCTTTCCAGTGATTTGAGATTAGACCTAGTGATGGTGACTCGCGTATAAACTAGTTTGCATTATGCCTGAACCACAGTGGGTTCTGAGGAAACAACTTACTTTTATCTGGTCTGTGAGAAACGTGCTTGATGAGCTCATTTTCATACAGATCAGTTAAATTGTCACACAACATTCCAGCAAAAGCAAACACATCAGACCCACTTATCTTTTTAAAAATGCAATCTGTGTGGGAAAGAACACGTTGTACTTATGTAAAATTATGAAATCATGTTTTTAAAAGAATATGGAAATACACTAGTTTAATTAGATTGTTCTCCTTAAATAATAATAGGCTTGCCCTTTCAAATGAGGGGGTTTGAATGTTGAATTTCTGTTACAAATAGTAATAAAAACTCCATAAGCCTATACAAGCATTCAGACAAAGTATGGTTGGAGGGCCAACTCTCCGATGGCCTGGAGCGGCCACTCCATTTTCCGTCCTGGCTGCTTAGGGACTATCATAGGTTTTCCTCCCTTGCTGATGTGTCTGTCTCCTGGTGGAACAACTACACAACATTGCCATCTGCTGACTCTGCTTTTTCATTACAGTACAGACAAAGCTCAGCCCAAAATATAGCCCACTCTAGAAGCCAGCAATTTATATTTGAAGACCTGAATATTCATATATGTTTTTAAAAAAGCAAATAGAGGAACTTTTCAGAGTGGCTATTTTTTCAGAGGACCAGATTTCATATACTTTTTTGTTATCATGCTGTGGGAGCATATCTTACAGAGCATACACAGGACCATTTTAACATTTTAGAAGGCACATGGAAACTAAGACCTCCTATTTGCTGGGGGGGCAGGGGAGGGGAAAGGAAGTTGTCATGACTAGTTACTGCTATTCATTTCTTTTAATATTTTGATACCAATTAAATTTGTCTAAATTAACCAAGAGTGCACCCCCTCACCCAAAGCGTTCTGATGCTGGAGGCCTGCTAATTGCTGTAGAAACAAATTCAGACTTCCGTCTTGTACTCTTAGGTAGCAGTGCAAAGGGTTGGTTGAAAAATTTGGCAGGAAAAACAATGATTTAGAATATACCATTCAATGTAAAGGCAGCCAAGCACAGTACCAGAACACAATGGCTGTACCTATACCAGAAATGGTGAAGAGAGACATAGAGACTTGGGCAATTTTCACATTATGTGTTTTTCACAGGTTTGTTTTTTTTTCCAGCTTTCCTGTGACTTTCTGGCAGCTCTGTTTTATTCTCAGTACAATTAATTAATTAATTTGATGTCCTGTCAACAGGTATATCTCTGCTTCAGGGGACAGAAAGTTTGGAGAAATGTTTGACCTTTTAGAAAACATAAAGCTCTATGCAAACAACTGCTGCTTGCCCACCATTAAGAGCAACACGTTATCCCTACTCATGCTGACTGTACTTTTAGCATCTTTTTAGATGCATGAAATTACCTCCTCACTTCACACAGCTGGAACGCTTATTAGCGTAACCAGTGACAAGGACAGGCTAAAAGTGCTTTTATTGTGATCATGTGCTATTTCTAGTTGCACAACTGCCAGTAGAAAAGGAATACTGCTTTTAAATGGTGAATGTACTAATCCTGCATAAATTTGTAAGCACCTAACATGGTTTAAGTGAGGTTCAACGTTTCACACAGGTCACTCTCGGTATGCAAATTTTAACACATAAACAAATCTCTGCAAGTTCTGTACCTTGGACTGCACAATATTCAGTACCTGCCTGTCTCTGTTTGTTTTCTACAGCACTAATGACAATGAGAACTCAACCAATAATGATGGAGCCTAGCAAATTACAAAAAAAAAAAAAAAAAAAAAAAGAAATAACATTAGTTTGTAAACAAGTATTCATCTTAATATTTGTGATTTTATTAAAAATCAATTACTTGGATATCAACAATCCATCATAGACCTCTTTTTCAATCTAGATTTAAACCTGACCTCCCTGTCTGTGTCTGAAATGTGTTCACAGCTATGGTCATTTATATACACCAGTGAATAATCTGCAGTAATGTTCAGCTAGTTAAGCAGCTAGAAATGAGATTTCAAAGGGAAGCAGGACTGTCCTATCTCTACCCCTTTGAAGTTACTAGGCATTCCAGTGTTCATTTCAAAGGTAGATGAGGCCAACTCGGGATACTTTAAAATCCCACCCAAAACCATCTCATTCTTCAGGCTAAGTAATATAACAGGTTAAAAATAATGATGCTGTAGTTGTTTAATGTATACTTGATTACAAATCCCCAAACTTGTAACATTAATGCAGAAATAACCCCTGTGTCTGTAGACTAGCATTTGAAAGTGACAATCAACCTACAAGCCTCCTATGCAGGGTCAGTGACTGGACACTGTAGTGATAGAAGCGCCTGGACTAGGTACATTTCATGTTCTCAGAGGAGAAAATAAAGACTGCTGAGTGTCAATCTCAATGCTAAAGGGTCCGTTGTTGTAGTAATTGAACAACAGGACTTCTCAAGAAACCTTGCTAGAACACATTTACAATTAATGATTTCTTGCTTCTATTTCTTTAAGAGTGTTTTCCATTATATCCATCACCCCAGCAAAAACTATAGGTTTTTTTCTCCTGAGTCTCCAGTAAGCTCATTTTCTCCCATTTATCAAGAACTTTACACCTCATAGATTCAAGCTGTTCAGAAACAGAAAGCAGTTTTCATGCTATCCTCTTTGTCTCATGTCTGCTGCAGGTTTCTGGAAGTATAAAAATACATGCACAATTTAAAGAACAGAGCTGGCAGTGGAAAGCTAATTGGCATTTAAGGCTGTGTCCATAGTGCCTTCAGTAGGCATACGCAAGCACAAGCTTGAGTTGACCAAGCCAAGCAGTACAGACCAGGAGCACCCACAACATTGTCTCCAGTTCAGCTGGTACACTCACTCACTGTACCCACACTTCATTTCTACCGGTCTGAACAACTGGCATACAAGCTATGCTCCTCACCTTTCACAGTCATCCCAACCAAGACCCTTTAGCACTTTATGCAAAAATATAGTCAGACTCTAGATACAACAGGAACACAGCCAAGGAGGAAATTGGTGCATCCCTGCACAGAGAACAGATAACAGCATGAAAGGAGAAGAATAAATATGTAATCCCTTAGGAGAGTCCAGAAAGTGCACTTCAGAATTTTACAGGCCAGCTTCACTGCCACCTCACCCACTCACCTCACTAAAACAAGTCAATAATGTGATCCTACAAGATCCTACACGGCCAGCTCACACTCCTCCCCAGCCAGGGTCTTATTCAAGTCAAAGACCTTTTCAGCTTTTCACAGCTTGTCGGTGAGCTCATCTCCAGCCTGTTGGTGTCTGTGCTGCTGCAGCCAAAGCTGTATTACAGGGCCTTGCCAGCTCCTCATCTAGGGCATAAGGGGAGCTACGTGCACAAACTAATAGTGTCCCTCACTACAAGGGTCTGGACTAATACAAGTAAACTACTTTCTTCCCTGGTGATAGTGCAGCTCAAGGTCATGCTGGTTTGTTTTTTTTCTGTCTACCACACCTTGGTTGCCCTCTTGGTGTTTGTCCACAAGGGGACTATGGAAAGTGAAGCAGTTAGGAAAGATGCCAGGGTGCAGGGTTACACCTCCAAGCCTTGCAGAGCAGGCAGAGAGGGGTCAAGGGAGTGAGATTGGGGTGAGGAAGAATGGGTCTGTCTTCGCTGCATAAGCCTCACTTGTTTGACTGGGGCAGTGAGCAGGTCAAGAAGATCCTGGTGATTCAGGGGCTACCCTGGAGCTGGGAGGGGCTTTCACAGCACACAGTAGTTCCTTAGCCACATTTGCAACCTAAGGGCTTTGTGCCCTGCTGTCAGATTCAGGACTAGGCCACTGAGTTGGGTAATTACAATGTTTTAGTGACTAAAGACTGTCTGTTGTGATCTCAGGACACCTAAACTTCCTACTCTCCAAGAAGCTTGTCATGGACAGCCAGCCCCCTCTGCCTCACTCTAGTCTGCGGTGCAGTACCAGTGCACAGACAGTAAGTCCAGTGGAAAGCTGACAGCTTTGATGAAAAATAAGGCAAGCTGGAGGAAGACAGCATGAGCCCAACTTGAGTGATGTGCTGCCTCATATGAGGAAAGCGCCTGACTCTGCTTCCTGCCACTCCTCATCCCAGGGGCTAACAGCCATTAGCTTCTCAAAAATCCTGTCCTTTCGTGTGAGCCACTGAAAATTATAGAGGGCATGTCTCCCTTCTATGGATCAGGATAGCTACTGGTCCCAGAAGGGCCTTACAGAAATGCTAGCTGCAGAGAAGCAAATAATGTCTTTTTTAGAAAAGATTAAGAAAACATTTTATTCAGCTTTTAAAAATAATCAGATCTCAGTTTTTTCCTCTAGAAAAACCAGAAGCTGGTTTGATGGTTGAAGCCCTGTTCATACTGAAGGCATTGAGTTAGAGGCCAGTGATAGGAGTTGCCCTTGGTGAACTTAATTACTGCCCAGAGCCTGGAGCAGGACACTAGAACACTGAGACACTGTAAAGAAAGCAGACTTAGATTGTCTTTTCTCAAAAAAGAAATGCAGAAGACATTTCATATTACCACTTAAACAGCTATTTCCTTATTTACAACGTTATAATTTGCTAACTAGTACCTTTTTTTTTTTTTTCTTATGTGTCAGAAGGGTCGTTAAAGGTCATCTAGTTCTAACTCCTCTGCTATGAGCAGGGACACCTTCCCCTAGATCAGGTTGCTCAAAGCCTCATCCAACCTGGCCTTGAACACTTCCAGGGAGGGGGCATCCACAGCTTCTCTGGGCATCTTCTCACACTCTAGAAGAAGACTGTGCTTTAAGTACAGGTTTTCAATAAAGGCATAAAATCAGGTGTATTATGGTCAGACTAGCTATTCTGCACTCTACCCTGATGGCATTTCATAGGATTTCCCAGTTCATCATCAGTCAGCTTTTCTTTTTGCTCTTCCACAAATTTTTAGATTTATATATTTTATCTCACTTAAAGGTTCTGATCCAGATTCCACTGATCAAAGGCCTTATCAAAAGACATTCCTTTCTCAAGCAGTACGTAAACAGACTGTAAACCTCATTGCTGTTACTGAACCAAAATACCCAGCAAGCATCCAAGAGGTTGTATGGATCGTATGGATAACTAGCTGATACAGTGAAGGCTGAAAAGAAGCTTAGGAAAGGCACATGAAAGCACGTGATTCAGGGCTTAACCTACTCATGATAAGCATAAAATCCAGTTATCATGTTTCTGCCAGCTGAAGGGTTTCATGTACCATCCCCTGAGACATCTTTAACACACCAGAGTACTGTGACTCGGACAGTAACAGAATCAGTCACAGACTCATAGAGATCATTTGGCAGTTCCCTAAGTTTCTTTAGCATTAGGAAGTCTCCCACTGACATCTACTGGTTTCAGATGAGGCCAGGAGTGAAAGAACTAAAAAAAAAGATGTTATGCACCTGATTTCATTAGATGTCAGCACATTTTGATCATACTAACAGGAAAAATACCGACAACTGGGGTAATTTTTTGTTAGCTTTCCTTCCAACCCTTTGAAGAACACCTCATTACTGTAATTTATGCCGTATTTTTTTTCTGCTTGACTCAGAACTGTGCTATCACTCACTTGTTTTATTTTCTGGAGTCTGGCTCATCTGTAGCACTATTTTCCATTCATATTTCAGTCTAGAATAGAACAAAAGAGAACAAAAGTTTCACAAATGTATTTTCAAGATCATATACAAAGTTAGATGTAAGCAAACACTTGTTACATATAATGAATATTATTACACATGTCCAGAGGCCAAATGTTGCTCTAACAGGGCATACAGCAAATTCAAGCTCACTGAATTACAGCAAGGTGAATCCAGGTCTGAATGCTCAGTAGTGCAAAGGAGAGAATTTACTCTCTGTGAGGAGCTAACAGGATTCAAACCATCACACTCTCCTTCATTAAGACTGCAGGTTCTTCTCCTAAGAGGGAAAACCTCTTGTTCACTGAATAAAAATACTGAAGCAATTACACATTATTTACACACATAGTGAGACATGTAGGTATCACAATAACATAAGTGGACAGCTTAGTTCTTTGCATATGCTTCAATATTCTTACTTCCCCTCTCCTCATCAGATCTCAGAAATCCTACCAGATATTCTAACACCTGCTAACCAATGTTATTTAAAAAAAAAATCAGTCTTGTATGAAAATATTTTCCTCTGCCCATCCTCCAAGGATGGTTTCCTTATTAAAAAAAATATCAGTCTTGTATGAAAATATTTCCTCTGCCCATCCTCCAAGGATGGTTTCCCTGTACATAGAAAAGACTACACATGTGTTGGCATTGCAGAGGGGAGTGTTTTCGGTAGTGGGAGAAGGGGTTACAGTGATGGCCCCTGTTAGAAGCTTTGTGAAGCTGCCCTGGCTCCAACGCAGACCCACCCCAGCCCAGGCTGAGCCAATTTGCAATAGAGAAACACCTCTTTGAATCCATATATTTATGAGGAGAAGAACTGTCTTTAAAAGAAGGTGGAAAGAAGCTGGAGGAGAGGCCATTGACCTGATCAAAGGATGACCATTGGCCTAAACAAAGAGAGAGCTTCGTTGCCAGAAGGAAGGAGGAGGAGGGGGAGGAGAGAGAATCTCAGACACCCAGTTTAACACACATGGAGTAGGAGAAGGTAAATGTGATCCACTGCAGCCCATGGAAGTTCAGCAGTGGAGCAGATACCCACGTGTAAGCCATGGAGGACTCCACGCTTGAGCAGAAAGCTCGGCCCAAGGGCAGGTGCAGCTCTATCAAGACCCAGAGATGCTCAACACCAGAGCAGAGATGGACCCCCGGAACCAAGGGGGGACGATGTGCGCTGGACTGGAGCCCCATCTGCAGGCCATGGATGTCCCCATGCCAGAGCTGGGAGCTGTGCCCGAAGAGGTCCGTGACTCCATGGGAAGCCCGCGTTGGAACATTTTTTTCCTGGACTTTCATGCCAGAAAGAGTGGCAGAGGTGAACTGACTGCAACCTCCATTCCCTGTCTCCTGTGCTGCGGGGGCACAGCGGGAAGGTAGAGAAATCAGGAGCAAAGTGATTTGAGCCCAGGAAGAAGGGAGGGATGGAGGGAAAGGTGTTTGAAGATGCTTTTGTTATGTCTCACTGTGCTATTTGGTAACAGATTAAATTGATTTTTCCTCCCCAAGTTGAGTCTGTTTTGCCTGTGACCACAACTGGTGAGTGAGCCATCCCTGTCCTCATTCTATTCTGTGACTCCTTTGTTGTCATTCCCTTCTCATCTCACCGTGTGGGGAGAATGAGTGCAAGACTGCATGGTCTTACCTGTGAGTGAAAGCATCACAACATGGTCCACGGCAAGAAGAAAAATTCAGGTTAACGCATGCAAATGACTCAGAATTTGATCGTTAGTTTTCATGCAAAGCTAGAAAGTTGTCATTAGGATAGTGCAAGTTCTAGACTTCTCTAGAAACAGATTGCTATCCAGAACTGAACAATCTTACAGGGTATTGAATTTTTATACCTATATCTGTCAATTCTCTCAAGAATTCCTTTAGATCATTCTAGGATGTTTATCATTATTACCTTTCAGTCCTTTGGCAGAAGACAAAATGTCATATTTTTTTCCCTTTTACATCTAAAATATTTATAAAAGCTTGCACGAAAATCAATCTCTGTAGCCTAGATAAGATTTGCATATGTGTGCTCTATAAATATTCTATGCTATAACCCTGATCCATCTTAAATTCATGCTAGTTTGACTTTATCCCACAGTAACGCATCATGAATTCTTTCTGTGTAGAGAAGTGTAGACGTGCAGAGTGCTGGGCTACTGTTAATTATCTTCCTGTTTACACTAGCAGAAACTAGTGAACATAAATCTCTTTCACACTCTTCTGCAGTATCTTAACTGCAGAATCATCCAAACTATATTTTGAAAGCACAGTATAAATGTTGTAATGTGTACACACTAAATACACTGTACACAACAACTGCAAAGACATAAAAGACCTCTTAAGTCATCCACTCTAGTTAGAGAAACGTTTACAAGAAAAAAAAAAGGGGGGGGGGATAGATAAGAAGGGGAACCAGCAGCTTAGTGAAAAAGAGACTTCTTAATTCTTCAGGTTCAGACAGTGGAGGAGGCGAGAATGGGAAAGTTGGTAGGTAAGATCTCCTGCTAAGACAGTTTTCATGTTGGAAGTTGAGAGCTCTAGAATTAAACAAACATAAGGTCAACATTGGGAATAGCAAGTCAAATCAGAGCTTGTAGCAGGAGTAAGGAGATTTGGAAGCTATGATATAAAATATCAGGGGCACATAACAGAAGCATGGAAACACTGGCTCAGTCCGAAGAAGACAGAGAGCCTCAGAAAGTTTGAGAATAAGCTAGTCAAAATAAGGAAGTCAAACCAAGTCCTGTCTTAGGGAAAGAACACAGACAACTGAAAGCACAGGCTTTGTTGCTTCCGTAACAAAGGGAACAAAGCCAAGGTCCCAGCAAAAGTGACACAGTCTGAAATTTAACAAAGCAGGCTGCAGTCTGTGTGGTCAGGAGACTTCTCTGATGACCTAAGCTCTTTGGTGGGTATCATTCCGGAATGGCAAAAGAAAGCCTTTTTCCTGCTCTGGGCTAAACCATGTCTCCCAGTGTGATTGGTACAAAAGACAAGGGTAGGAGGGAAATCAAAAATATATATTAAGAAAGGAGAAAGATTTTTGGCTAGAACATGGCATCCACAAGCTCTAATCCCTTGGACTTCCCTCTAAGACCTGACATTTGTTAAAACTTCATTAACTCTATTTACTTGTTTCTGCTTCTCCCATCCACTTGGTTCCTGCTAGAGGAGTTGACAGCATTTGCAACACTTACTCTTCATTTCTTTCCAGAGCAGTACTGGCTTTCTTCATGAGGACTTGCACATCTTTCCTGAGTGCCTGTATTTCTGGAACCTTCAAAGGCTTTGTTTCCATCCTTTTGACCTGAGCCTTCAGAGCCTACAAAAACACATGGAAAAAGAGTAAAATGTGAAGTCATGTCATTGAATATTTATTTCCTTTGCTACAGGTTCTGGCATCATTTTTAAAATTACATTTTCAGAAAAATTAAGTTCTCATGAAAACTTCTGAATTAGTTGCTTATGAGGTTGAGAGTTAAAATGGCCAGACGTGAACAAACAAACAAAAACAGGCTATGACAGGTTTTAGAGTCACTCAAAGTTCTTTCCATTGGTAAATAGATTAAAGGCTTGTTACAGATAAAAAAAAATAATATGGATGATTCTCTCTGTGTGTCACAGACAGTAAATATGAAGACGAAGACTCATGCGAACCTCTTGCTTTTGGACAATCCTTTCAGGTGTTTCGCCACTGAGTGGTGTGTTACTCATTCTAGGCAAAGTACTTATACTGTCAATTGTGCTATGTTTGTCATCATTACCTTTCATTTTCACTTCAACAGATTGTCAATATCACACAGGAGCTCCCAGGCTCAGTGCCAAAGAGAGAGGATAACTAAGGTGAAATCCCCAGAGCAAATCCAAAGGATTGGCTCTGGGTTGATGAAGAACACCAACCTAAAAAGCTGTCAGGAGTGGAAGGGGCTAGTTTTGGAGTAGGAAGACTACAAAAGGGTCAGATAGCGAAAGGGGCAGGGACTGAAAGGCACAGGCTGGGCTGAAATGGGGTCTGGTGCCTTGGGCAGGGTGGGAAGTGACTCCAGGAAGGCTAGGCAGGGCCAGTCAGGGATGGCTCTGCCCTCAGGTCTTGACATCTCCTCTGTGCTCCCCTTCTATTTCCCTATTAGAGCACACCTTTCCTGGCACCTCTTCCTTTTGCCAGAAGTAAAAAGTCATTGGTGGGAGAGGCAGGGGGAAGGAATGTGTGGCACTACTTCTGGCAACCTGAGGCCAATGTCATCCTCTGTACAGCAGCACTTCTTCAGTAAACCTGGCACAAAGTCTGATGTGGCCCTACCACAGGGGAGACGCAAGGACAATAGGTTTGATACTTCTGAAATCCAACATGGGCTATTCAGCCAATACTCTGCTTATTCTGTAGCAGCTGCTGTCTCAGACTTCTCAACTGTGGATTGCTCCAACAGAAACTGTTGTAAGCAATGAAGCAAAGAGAGAGCACTAGATCTCCTATGTCAAAGATAAGTTCAGGAACTGCCCATATCTGACTTCAAATACTTCATTTCTCTGTAGCATCATCAAGGAAAGGAGCTAATACTGGCAAGTAAATACTACCTTGTATTGTGCTATAGGCAGAGTCCAGAAGCATCATCACGTACAGCTCAAACTCACTCTAAATAAATTGAGAGGAAAGACGACCATCAAAAAATGTTTAACACAGTCCAAGAAGACAAGTTTTGTTTCAGTTTGGCTCCAGGAAAATCATACCTTTTGTGCTGTGACAGAAGATTTATTTATGCTACCACACATGTCTTTGTTCAAAACCCAGAGGTGATCATTTGGATTTTGACTATGCTGATGTCATTCTCAGCACCCAACTAGCTCCTCTTCCCCAAGGATTTCTTGCTTGTAATGCCTGCCCCCTCTTCCCTTCTCTTGTCTACAAATGCTGGATTTTAGCAGGTAATTATCTTGTCAACAAATACAGAGGAATGACTTTTTTTTCCCCACAGTCATTATTGGGAGAAACAATGCAGAATTTCTACCATCACTAGCATCACATCACAGTGTATATAGTCAAAGTACAACTTCATTTTTCACCTATAATATTTCAGCTGTGTTCTACTTGCAAATCACTGTCCTGTGTGCCCAAGAGGAGAAACAAACAGATTTGGTCCCCACATGAAGGATTTCAAGTGTCATCCTTCAGCATAGTCAAAAAATCAAAAGGAAAAAAAGAATAGGAAACTGCATGATAAGTCAGATAAGGATTATCACTCCTCACGTGTAACTGTCAAAGTGAGAGGTGGAAAAATAAATCACCAGTAGATTACAGCCTGATTTTTTTCCTCCCAAACATTGTAAGGATTTTAGAATTACAGCTAGAGTTTCAGAAAAAAAGGTAGTGAAGGTTACGGTTTGGGGGGGGGGGGTTGGTTTGTTTGTAGGGTTTTTTTAAGTAACACTTTTATCAAAGTGCTTAAGTGGTAGCCAGATGTTTGGTGTCTGTTTAACTTGCACAGTACATTAAGGGAGACCTGGGAAAGAACTCATACATCTTTCCCAGAAGCTGTCTGTCCTTCTGTCCTGATCATACAGAGGTATTCAAGCAACCGCAAATGTAGGTATTGCATGCGATGCTGATGTCTTGTAACCTGGGGGACACTGCAGGAAGAAAGAGTTATGGCTTTCTGCTATATGGTTAATTAAAAGGCATAAATTCACAGTAGGAACACTGGGACACATGCAAGGACTTGTCATCTCACCAGTAGGGCCAGAAGCAGAACTGGGAACACACTGAAAACAAAATCACATGGCTGTTACAGCCATACAGTTTAGTTTGCTGGTCAGCTGTAAGAAAAGATGACGAAAACACTTAACACACACACACACACACACACACACACACACAGCTGTGGCCCTAATTTGAATGAATTAAAGCAGTGACTGAAAACATAGCCTACTCCTGAACCCCCAAATATGAACAATTTCCAATTCATCTTTCTCCTCAGTGCTGTTTCCTCCAGTCTTGTGGCCTTTGAATCTGTAGCTGACTTGCAGAGGTGTGCAATTTCTTGCGATTTCTCCTTTCTCCATTAAGTGGGACAAGGAGCAAAAATGAGGAAGAAACCAGCCATTCCCTTTGAGATCACAAGTGATTAAATTTTTAAAAAAAATGATGCTATGAGCCCGTAAAGTTTGTAAGATATGATTGATTTTAATGGGGCAAGGGGGCAGAGAAGAGTCTCCTAAAGAATGTAAATCCCCACGAGAAACGCTTTCCTCACTGTAGCTAAAAAGGGTTAAATGCCCCAGATGCACTAAGAAAAATGGCTAAGGGCACTGTGAGACAACACGTTTAAAACAATAGTTAAGATACATTTAGCTTATGTTGCGCTAAAGCTCAGGAATATTTTTTGCCTTTATTTCTTTCAGAATATCACCAAATATCAGAGAGCTGTTGCTTATATCTTCAAATACTTCCTCAACAACCTGTAGGCACTAGAAATGGAGGGGATCACAACCACAGATTTTCTGGAGCCCTTGTACAATCATCAAAATGAACAACTACATAGCCGTATGTGCAGAAGGTGCTCTAAAATAGTTACTTGCAGAATGTATTACTTTGTTCAAGTTCATGCCATTTCTCCAGATAGTATGCAATAAGAAATACCATGAGAATCCAGGTCAAGTGATGGTCACAGCACAAATTCTGTATTTTGATCACCACTAAGATGAAAGCTCACATTCAACAAGACAGGATGTACAAATCATCAAAAAGACTGGTAGAAAACAAAGACAACACAGATTTGTGTGGCAGAAGAAAATTACTACTTTACACCTCAACTTACTGTTGAATGTGTTTCTTACATCTTTACAGCCAATCCTTCCATATAAATTCTACATTTGTCTATCTCTACTGACTTCAACCCATCATCTCCAGGTTTGGAAGAAGCAGTCCTTGGAACACATTGCATCCCTTAAAGCAACTGTCAGCTGAGAGAGATAAAAATTAATATATAAACAAACTGAGAAACCCCAGCTAAGGAATACAACAATTAAAATCATACACTTAGAATTTCATGGTTATACCTACCAGCTCTGAGTAATAAACCTGGGAAAAAGAAAGGGTCTCTTAGGCAACCTGTGCTACTTCCTCTGTCGTGGGAACTTTTTCTCTAGAGTGCTGCTGGCCTCACTTCAAAGTGCTCTGTTCCCAAGATTAATTCTTTCACAACAAGCCTCTTAGGCAGATAATAGACTATGGCAGTTTTTCACTTTGTGAATATCCTTGTTTCAAACCAAGGCTGATAGAAATTTTGACCATTTAATCAAAGGGCACAGATTGCCATCACTGCTAGTTAGTACAGCTTTCTGCTAAACTTCACCAGAGTTCCACTATCTTACAAAAATTGTACCGATTCAAATTGTTTCTTGGGAAAAGGTTTCCTGGGAAAAACTGCCTTAAAAATTACAAGATCAAGCTGCTATCCTGCTATAATACAACAATTTACCCCCTCTGTTTTCCCCCATGCCTCATTCCTCTTACTCTGGCCACTCAGCCCAGAGGCATAGGAGAAAGGTTACTTGGGAATATTTACCAAGGTGGGAAGTAGACAACTTTTTGGCAAGTTGGTTAACAGCATGGAAGATGATACCTCCTAGAATCCAGTGGAGCGTGGATTATGCTGGTTCTCCAAGAGTTATACCCAGAAGTAGATTGAATGAATTTGTTGCCTCACTTCCCTCATTTTGCATAACTTTTCTTGAAAAGCTTTGGTAGCCCCTTGGAGATATAC